AATGTAAATAAGATTGTAGCCAGTGCACCATCAAACAGGAAAGCTGCCAAACATTTACTATTGGAGTATGCACAAGTGACCAGTTGATCTTTTCTAACATACTGTTGCCTTCTTAACTACAACCTATCTGAGCAGGCCACACAGCAAAAGGAAATTGCATCCCTTTTTCCTGCGTCAAAAATTCCACAGTAAACATCTTAATTGGCTCTCATTAACGGATGAGGTAAAGGCAAGAGTTAGTTTATTCTGTAAATTCCATTAATTTATTCTGTGTTAAGATCAACACTAATTAATAGCTGACAAGTGTTTGTAGAAGCCATTTTTAAGAAAATTTGCTTTGGGTCGAGATTACCTTAGCTGCTTTATAGTCAAAGTCAACTTATCTCATCAAAACTGTTCATTGAAATTGTTGATATTGTTGACTTCCCTAACTACCTTAAAGATCTTTCTCTTCGACCATATCTACTCTACTTTCATCGATTGGGTGATTACCTTGCAAAAGTGTCTCCAAAACACTCCAAGGTACCATCTCACTTGAAGAGTATTATATAAATGCAAGTTGCGGTTGTAAATGGGTTTGAGTATGCCAGGCTGTGATTGGCTGCACCAATTCCCATTTGCTAGATGGTTCTACGGACGATGTGAATGCAACTGATCTGGCGGGAAAACAAAAGCCAAATGACATTAATTATTTTAATACTTGTCCACCAGAATTTCAACTAATAAACTGGAAACAAATAAATGTTGGTTCCCAGATTGGGCCCAAGATTGGGCCCAAGATTGGTTCCCAGTTACCTTAAGAGATAAAGAAAACAAGCAATGAAATATGGCCACTCAAATCATTCTTGCTTCTTTTTCCATATGGTGCTGCACAAATGCTGTATACGAGTCATATCTGTACCACGGTCCATATATATGCAATTGTTGTCCTGACATGGAGCTTGAACTCACAATCTTCTCTTAAGAACTATAGAAAATCCGTTTCAAATTTAAAACTGAACTAAACAACCTGCCAAATTATGAAATGTTAGGGAAATAGAGTAAATAGACTTGGGTGCAATTTCTTCCCACATAACTTGCAGAGAGCCTCCTCCCTGAAACTTGCTTTGCAAAACTCTTGTTCAGCAATCATCATGTTCAATATTGATAGAGTTTGAATGGCTTGAAATGAAGTGTGAAAAGATCATTAATGCAAGGTCTGCCAAATGTTCAAAAGACAGTTTTTCTTTACTCAAATAGAGGAACGGGGACTTGAATCTTCCTTTGCTTATTGTTTAGTCAGATCAAGTAATAACTCAGGTAAGGCACTACTGTGATATGTCCAGTAGAGAGAGCCCTAAACACATGTTTACAAAATAGTGCCAAAAGCTGTTGTATAGCAGTTAAAATAAGCATTTTATACAGAATTGCTGAAAATGACCTTTTATAGGTCAAGAGAACTTTCGGATGTAGTGAAGAGAAACACACTTTTATATAAGAAGTTTTGTTTAAAGAGAAAATAAGCTTTATCTTAAGCCAAGTGACAGTATGAATGCATTAAAGTGAAAGCAGTACAGTGGGCTCTTTGATGTTATTATTGAGACTATCTCAGATGATAAAGTGTAGACAGTAGTTTTCAAGAGCTCATAAATTTCTACTTCAGATGATTAACGGAAATTAAAAGTGGTTTACTAGTGTCTTCACCTTGTAATATAAATCAACCAGAATAAATCCGAGCCAAGTATTCTGAATATAAATAGGGCTAATTTTGTAGGTATGAGGAAAGATTTAGGTAAAATAGACTGGAGAATAAGATTAAGAGGTAAAAATGTAGACCAACAGTGGCAAATATTTAAGGATGTAGTGCAAAATTCTCAGCGGTCGCATATTCCCTTGCGGAATAAGAGTACCACAGGGAAAGCAATTCATCCGTGGCTAACTAGAGCAGTTAGGGAATGCATCAAATTAAAAGAAAAGGCTTATAAAACTGCCAAGAAAAGCGGCAAATCTGAAGATTGGGAGAGTTTTAGAAACCAGCAAAATAAAACCAAAAAACTCATTAAGAGCGAGAAAAAGGAGGATGAGGGTAAGCTAGCTAGGAACATTAAGTCTGACTGTACAAATATATTAAGAGGAATAGGCTTGTGAGGGTAAATGTAGGTCCACTTCAGTCAGAGATGGGAGAAGGTGTAATGGGGGACAGACAAGGACATAGCAGAATCCCTGAATGGGTACTTTGCATCTGTCTTCACCCTAGAAGACACAACAGGGCTTGAGAAATTGTTAGCACTAAAAAGTAACAAATTCCCTGGTCCTGATGGCTTGCATCCAGGGTTTAAAAAAGAGGTAGTTTATGAGATAGTGGAGGCCTTATGTCTGATCTTCCAAAATTCCTTGGATTTTGGAACAGTCCCCATGGATTGGAAGATCGCAAATGTCACACCACTATTTAAAAAAGGTGGAAAGGAAAAGATGGGAAACCATAGGCCAGTAAGTCTCACATCAGTGATAGGAAAAATTTTAGAATCATTGATTAAGGATGTGGTAGTGCGGTATTTAGGGAAGCACAATATAATTAGGCCAAGTCAACATGGCTTTACAAAAGGGAAGTCATGTTTGACAAATCTCATAGAGTTTTCTGAGGATATTTCGAGTAAACTAGATAGGGGTGAATCAGTAGATGTGGTCTATTGGACTTCCAGAAGGCATTCGTTAAGGTGCCGCATAAAAGGTTAGTCCAAAAGATAAGGGCCCATGGAATTGGGAGGTGCATATTAAAGTGGATTGGAGAATGGTTAATGGGTAGGAAACAAAGAGTAGGGATAAACGGGTCCTTTTCAGATTGGCTGGATGTGACTATTGGAGTGCCACAAGGATCAGTTCTTGGGCCTCAGCTATTTACCATCTACATCAATGATCTAGGTGAGGTGAGGTGAAGGGAGTGAGGAAGGAAGTTCCAGAGCCTCGGGGCATAGTGGCTGAAGGCATGGCCGCCGAGGGTGGAGCGGAGGACGAGGAGGAGGCCAGTCCCGGTCAGAGAGGTAGGGGGTGAGAGGAGTGGAGGGATTTGAAGACAAGGGTGAGGATCTTGAAGTCGATCTTCTCTGGGACAGTGCAGTCTGGCAAGGACTGGGGTAATCAGGGAGCAGAGTTTGGTGCGGGTAAGAATGAGGGCGGCAGAGTTTTGGATGACATGGATTTTGTGAATGATAGTGGAGGGGAGACACACAAAGAGAGCATTTGAATAGTGCAGCCGAGAGGTGACAAAGGCATGGACCAGGGTTTCAGCGGCTTTTGGAGTGAGGTATTGGCGGAGATGGGCGATGCATCGGAAGTGGAAGAAAGTGGTGCTGGTGAGGGACCAGATGCGGGGTAGGAAGGATAATTGGGGGTGGAACCTCACGCCTAGGTTGCGTACTGAAGCTTCTCTATTTGCTTTAATTTAAATGGCAATTAGTAGTACCTGTCATTGTGGAAGAACTCATTAGTCAAGTTACACCTAGTTATAGGGACTTGCATTCATTAGTGAGGATTGAACACAGAGACTACCCAGTACACTGCGAGGAAGAGCGAGCCATATCGTGGGTGTATATATAAGGGTGACAGAACTGTCTAAATACAGTTTGTACAAAAAATAATCTCTCAACCTTTTGATTGACTTAAATTATATGCCTTCCTACCACAGCCCTTTAATAGTTATTGTAAACATTTCTTCATGAAATAGTGATGAAAAGGAGTTTCACTGAAGACCATTAACATTTTCAAAGTTCATATTAGATCGGTTCTGACATGATAAGGAACCATAATACCTTGCCAACCGCTTATCAAAACTGAGACGTCTCCGCACTCTATCATTTCAATGAGCACAAGAATTCTTTTTAAAATTATATTTCGTCATATTATCAGGACTGATCATTGACATATGGGTAGAGTGGGCGGGGGATCATATACTAAGCTAAGAGAAAGTGAGAGAGAGTCTGAGGAAATCTATTTGAGGTACACAGCTGCTCTGCCCTACACCTGCAACTCTGTGGCATCTATTAATGAGTTCCTTAAACAATGCATTGCTCAGTCCTGGGATTTAAAAAAAAGCCTTATTAGGCTGAGCAAAGTAAATGAAAAATTCAAGACAAATCCTATCAAAAGATTTATGCTGAAATCTTCGGGAGTCCAAAAAGCAAGGACCGGGTTTGTCCCCTTTCTGCACTACACCAGAATTTATGTCACTCGACTCAAATGAGAGTTGATTAAAGTTGCATTAAAAGTAAATACCTGTAGATGCAAAAGGAGTATTTTCAGTTATTGATCATTGAGTGCTGGAATCATCCAAATCTTATCGAAACAAAGCGAAATTTTTACATGGTAAATAATGGTCAATTGATTTTGAGATATTGACACCCAACTGACCAAAAAATACTTATATAGGCAACGGAACAAGCAAATTAATAGATTAATAGAATATATAATAGTTTAAATTCACTATTATAATATTCAGTATCCCACAACGGATGTTGAAGGTGCGAGGACATGAAGTGATTTGAAAACGAGTGAGAGGATCTTGAAATCCGTCTGTTCGGTAAGCGGGCGACGGCGGAGCCTGGCAAGGAAGGACTGGTGTGACGGACTTCATGGCTCTTTGCAGGGCATTTGCTGCCGCAAAGTGGATACGGCAATAGCCTACAAAAAAAAAAGCCACTCGGCGTAACAGTAAATTGCTTTGAGCCATTTGGATATTATTTTATTATTATTATTATTTATTTAGGAGGTATAAAATTTTTTTAGATGCCACGAGCTTTTAAAGCTCTTTTTCTCCTTGAGTGCTAAGATGTTGAACTGCCTCCTGCAGAGGTCTCTGGTGGATCAGTGTTTGACGGGCACCAGACTCTGGGCAGAGGGGGGCAGGGTGTGTGTTGCAATGACAGCTGACAGTGTGAGGGCAGGTGTGGCTGGCTGGCCCGCCTCCGGCCCTGCCCTGCCTGCCCTGCCCTGCCCTGCCTGCCTGCCTGCCCTGCACTGACTGGCTGCCCGGCAGTGGGGGAAACAGTCGCTGCGGAGGAGTCGCTGGGGAGTAGGAACTCGTCCAAGTGTTGAGTTACCGGCAAGTGCAGTGACTTCCCCCACTCCACAGCACACACCTGCCCTGCCTTGCCTTGCCTTGCCCTGCCCTGCCCTGCCCTGCCTGCCCTGCCCTGCCCTGCCTGTCAGGGAGGGCACCTGCCAAGCCGCCAAGGTGGGTTCCTCTCTGTATGTGTTTTGGGGACGTATTCATTTACTTCTCGCTGCTCACACTCACTCACTCACACACTCACTCACACAAACACTCACTCACACACTCACTCACACAAACACTCACACACTCACTCACTCACTCACACAAACACTCACTCACTCACACACACAAACACTCACTCACTCACACACTCACTCACTCTCTCACACAAACACTCACTCACACAAACACTCACTCACTCACTCACTCACTCACACAAACACTCACTCACTCACTCACACAAACACTCACTCACACAAACACTCACACAAACAAACAAACACTCACTCACACAAACACTCACACAAACAAACACTCACTCACTCACTCACACAAACACTCACTCACACAAACACTCACACAAACAAACAATCACTCACTCACACAAACACTCACTCACTCACACAAACACTCACTCACACACACAAACACACACTCACACAAACACTCACTCACACGTACACACTCACACGCTTACTCACACACTTACACACTTACTCACACACACTCACACATTTACACACTCACTCACACACTCACTCACTCACACCCATGACTTACTTGTCTGTTGCCCACTCTACAATTGGTAATTTCAATGTATTTGTGTGTGTGTTTTTTTCATTTTATTAACAGTATTTGCGACCATTGCTTAAAGTCTAACAGCACCAGCGCCGAGTTGAACGAACTGTTTGACAATTTTTGGGGGGAGTTTTTTTATTATTCTTTTAAAATGAAAGCTTTTCCCTGTGGCAGTGACACCCACAGTGAGAGCCCCACAGCCATGGGAGAGCAGGTTAGCACCTACTCACTGACTCATTCAGTCACTCACTCACTCTGTGCATCTCACAGGCTCTTTCCCTGACATCGTTTTGTTTTAAATAACTTTTTTTGCAAAAAAATTTAAGGGCACCTAAGTTACAATATAAAATCCAAATGTCTCAAAGTAATTTACTCTCATGTCTCAGGAGGAAGACAATTCCTATACGATGAATAGATTTCTTTTTTTTAAATCAAAGATGCAAAGTTATAATAAATAATCCTTGCATTTGATACAGCACCTTATTACGTTGTTGAGACATCTCAAAGTGCTTCACGGAATATATTGTAAAATGGTTGACTATTTATGGGCGAAAGTTTGTGATTAAGCACATAGAGGTTTGTGTTTCCCTATGTTTTATAATGAAGCTTTAGCCTAATAATCAGCTGAAAACATTATTTATATAGCCTGACGTGAGATCTTATTTTGGCGTGTAAATAAACACTGTATTGTAGAATTAGAAGCTGCAATTCAACACCAAAGCACAATACTTTCTCAAATGGCGCTTTTTGCTTTTGAATGTTTTAACTACTAACCATTCATTTCAAACTGTTTGTAGTTAAGAAAGTACAAGTCTTATAAGAAGGAATTTAAAGTGAAATGGACGAATGCTCTCTAGATATTGTGCCATGCAAGCAAGTGCAAGTAGTTTGGGGCTAACAATGAATACAGCTTTTTAATCTAATGTTTTACTGCAATTCAAAATGTGTAAGAGTCTTAAGTTTATTGCTGTCTGTTTCCATTTGTTTTCAGATGTAATTGTAGCATTCATTTCCTGTAATTCTATGTATGTCACTTTCGTGGAGTCCTGTAGCTCAGTGGTCAGAGCACTCGCTTTGCAAGCGAGAGACCTGAGTTCAATTCCAGACAGGACGAAATCTTGGGCAAGTTTCCTTACTCCACACGCCTAATAATAATCCCTCCAAAAAACAAAAACAATAATAAATTGGTCATCTTCAATCTACGACTGTTTGTGGGACATTGCTGTGCGCAATTGGCTGCCGCGTTCGCCCACAAATATACAGTCAATTCACTTTACAGTGTGTTCTGTGAAGCACTTTGGGACGTCCTCCCGACGTGAAAAGCGCTATATCAAATTGCAAGGATTATTATTATTATTATAATATACAATCTGTAATGCATTTTGCCTGCAGTCATGATGCACAATGCCTAGAATAAATGCAACTTCAATGGGTACAGTGTTTATTAATAAGAAAAATACAAAATACTATGTGGAATGTCATGCTACTGAAATGTAAAAACAAGAACTTCTGGTATTGTTATGTGCAGAGAGACATTGTAGAGTAATCCCTAGGAAGCTGATCAGCTTACCCTAGGCACTTTTTGTTAGTAATGCTGTTTAATCTAGGGAGTAACATTCTCTTCCTGACATCCACTACGTTTTAGTTTGCCTCTTTTTTTTATTGTATTATTCTTTATTATTGCTGATTGATATCCACTACTTGGGATTGCCAATCCTCCCCTCTGCTCTTGTTTTGATACAAATGTCAAAGCAAATCTTATCTCTATACAAGCTATGCACCAGAAGTTCTTGTTTTTACATTTCAGTGTTGGAAATGAATGGTACAATTACATCTGAAAACAAATGGAAACAGACAGCAATAAACTTAGACTCTTACACATTTTGAATTGCAGTAAAACATTAGATTAAAAAGCTGTATTCATTTTGTTTGGCAAAAATCATGCCAAGTCCGTTCTTCTTTATTAGCTTAAGCAGTCAGCACTTCTTGTCCAAAAGTGCATTTAGGAAAATAAATCTAATTAAAGTGAATCTATATTCTTAGAGGGCTAAGATGCTCTTTGTCCCAGTCGTTTAAGAATCAAAACACAAAGAATTAAAATTTGTGCAGATTTCATACTATTCGGTAACTGCTGTGTAACGTGTGCAGACATTTACATAGAAACTAAAATGGATTATATTGTAATCCATTACACATTTTTCCAGTGGATTGGAAACTAAAACAAAATCAATAAGTAATTTATTCAGTAAAACTATGGCTCCTCTCTAGTTGTCTTTGGGATCAAGACTGAGTTTTACTCTTACACTAACAGCTGACTGAACATTTAACCTGAAGAAGTGCTACATGACTCAGTGTCCTGGCAAGCTGAGGGTCACAAAGCACTCTTCTGAACACCGAATCTTGGAGCTAGGGTTTCATCAGAGTCACATGAGGAATTTATCCAGGTCCTGTTAGCATGCAGCACATTGAGCAAAGGCACTCGTCACTGTAGTGGTTGCAGAAGTTCGATGTTTGTTGCTAGTCTGTCCACATCTAAATATATGATGTTTTATTGTCCAGTTAGCTTTACATCTCCTTCCTTCCTCTCTGAATAAAGAGATTGGTCTCAAGTTCCTATGTGATTTTTAGGTTATGAAGTGCCCAATATTTTTTTTCGTATCATAGTTTGGTTTTCGGACACTACCCTGCATGAGGAGTGCTATATAAATGCAAGTTGTTGTTGTTGTTGTTCCATTAGATCTTTGTTGGAAATATTATGGCATGTTCTGTGAAGCGCTTTGGGACGTCCTCCCGACGTGAAAAGCGCTATATCAAATGCAAGGATTATTATTATTATTATTATATTATTATATTTTGTTTGTTTCAGTGGATTTATTCAGTTTCTTATATCGGGAGGGTGGTGAAGGGGGAATTCCATACTATTATGGAGTCCTGTAGCTCAGTGGTTGAGCACTCGCTTTGCAAGTGAGAGACCTGAGTTCAATTCCAGGCAGGGCGAAACCTTGGGCAAGTTTCCTTACTCCACACGCCTAATAATAATCCCTCCAAAACCCAAAACAATAATAAATTGGTCATTTTCAATCCATGACTGTTTGTGGGACATTGCTGTGCGCAATTGGCTGCCGCGTTCGCCCACAAATATACAGTCAATACACTTTACAGTATGTTCTGTGAAGCGCTTTGGGACGTCCTCCTGATGTGAAAAGCGCTATATCAAATGCAAGGATTATTATTATTATTATTAATGGTAAAAGTGCCTGAAAATGAAGGTAATGTTTTTGGAAGCTTACTCCTTGACTCACTGCATCTCCACTGGTGTTAAAGTAACAATACAAAGTAGTGTCTTGAAGTTATAAACAATAATTGCAATACAATATCTGGTTGATAATTGAGATAGATAAGAATATCTTCATTTAATCTATGGGAGTTGGGTCTCTATCCAGCCCAGTCTAATCTTTGCTGTCTATAATAGTACTATGTAAAATGTGTTTGGACAGTCCCTGACCATGGACCCAAGGCACATAAGTTGCACACTGAAACTTGCTTAGAAGGGTCCAAGAATGGCTGGTGTTGTAACAGAAACATTCACTCCAGTGTAGGAGAAGTTGAGGTTATTGCACAATATTTGGAGTAAAAGTAAAGTTTCCTCTACATTGAGTCTGAGCTGTATATTGCTGAAATACTACAAATCTAAATATGTATACAGTATATGAGATAAAAATGATCACATCACATGTTGCATTTTTCACCCTCTAAATTTGAAACACTAAAATATAATTCATTATGTGAAGTGCTTTTTGGCATGACGAGGCTCTATTTATTCCTATTACTATCACTTTCTCCTGATATGCACCAAAATTTGTGGATAATTGCTTTGTGTAGTGCCATCTTGAATTGTACAGATTTGTAGGATTGAAGATAAATCGCTTCCCTGGGCTGTTGGTTTAATCTTATCCAGGTGGAGCACTGCTGTTGACGTCAGCCTCCCTAGGCTAGGGAGGAGAAAAGTAGGGAAGAGTTTTGAATCACTGCCCCAGGACCTGATAGAAGTGCAGGGACTGGGAGACAACAGGACCAGATTCAGCTGTGATACTGTCCACTAACATAGCAATGTTCAGTCGTGGATATGAGGTGCTGAGAGTCACCATGGGTGTAGATTTCATCACTATATAATGGGAGTTGATCATAATGGAGCATATATAATGGGACGTTTTCCCGATGTGAAAGGTGCTATACAAATTTAATTTGGTAATTTTGTATTGTATAATAACGTTGAGTCATGAATAAAACCTCCTTTTGGTAACTGGAAGTACAACACCCAGTGCTGAATGCAAGTCGTCAGTATCACTATTTAAGAATTCCTGCCATTTCCTCCAGTAGCC